ATACATGAATTTGTCAACAACTGTCAGAGTTGTTCATAATTAATATGTCTGTAATATATCAGTTAAGAATACATTATGCTTTGATATTTCCTGTCATCTTCACTCCAATGTAGCTCTTTTAAATTTGTTTAAACTTTCTTTACTTTTTACTTTAAGTGCCTAAGTGTAAACAATTCCCCTTTGCCCCAAACATTCTCAAAAACAAACACTTCAGACTTAACTATAGTGCTCTTATATCAATAATAAGTTATTGTTACAAGTGCACTCTTACAATTCCACAGTATGTCATTACTTACCATGTATTTGTGAATAGAGGTGACATCCAAACCCACACACACTCTGTAGCTGAGTTCGGGTAAGGCCTGCTGTCCCTCTGCTGGTTTGAAGGGAGAGTCCTGGTACCGGGCCTGGAACCTGAGGGTCCTGTCCTTCTCTGACCAGCCCAAATGGAAAGGCACCGAGTCATTAATCTTGATGGCAGTCGCATTCGAAGACAGCCAATAGCGTTCCAAGATACCCCCAAAAGCATCTCGATTGGAGTAGACATCGCTGGTGATGAAAGGCTCAGGTTCCTTTTCTCCCTGTATTCTGATAGGCCAGTACTGTGTTGCTGTCTCCGCCCCTCCATACCAATGAGAGTCATTATAGGCCATGGCGTGCTCCACTGAGCGCTTACTTTGCAGCTCCTCCCAGCGAACACGGTAACATATCACAGTGTCCTTTGGTCTAACAGTCTGGATAAAGAAGTTGAGCTTGCCAGAATCTGACTGAGTGCAGCTCAGGATATTTCCCTCTTTGGAGCAGGAGTCCAGATCCAGAGTGCCAGACCTGGAAGGCAGCAACAACACAGAGTTATAAAATATAAATGAACTTGTGAAGCACAGCACCTATTGTAACTTCCAAATAATTGTGAGACTATAAGAATACTTTGCAATTGAAAGATATTGTTTGCTACATTTCATTACTGTATTTCACTGAGAGTGCACGGATTGTACCATGGCTATTTCTGGGAATGTGAGCTTTGCTGATAAAGGACCTGACCTAATCACTTTCCCCTAAGGATGTAATCATGTGTCTGCCTCCTGTGGATTTCCATTCACCATCCACACATTGCAGACAGGCAGCTTTTTAGTACAAATCAGCACAGAAAGAGAAACAACTGTGCCAAGGCAAAAAAAAAGATATATGGTACAAGAATACTCTGAACTAAGATGTACTGCATAGCTGATTCACCAGAAAACAGTTCATTAATGTTCCTATTTTGATTGTATTTTGATTGCTCTGAAATGGCCATGGCAGCAGCAGGATAGATGTTATCATGTGCATATTCCATCTCGAAGAAATGTAACCTGCAACTACAACATAGTAAGTGTAAAGAATTATAATAACAGTATCGTCCTGGGATATTATGTATTGTGACACTTATTGATTGTCAAAGACAGTATATGTTTTAATGAATAGTGTATTTAACATGAAAAGATTATTCATATTTTATATATTATTTTAAATAGATATGCGCCATCTTAAAGAAGTGATATTGACTTTTTTTGTGTTACAAGGATTGTAATAAATGCAAATAAAGATCCCATTTCACTGATTGCATAAAAAGTCATCTCTTTTTAATTAGATTGTCACTTTCTAGTCACTTTACAAACAGAAAAATGACAAAGAATCTCTGGTGCCAGTTTCTTAAATCAATTTTATGTTGGAGCATGTTCTCCATTGATTTGTTTTATTTTATTCTGAATTTAATGTGTTTGGGGTGGTGAGCGTTGGTAAGACAAACTGATAAATGTATAATAAATAATAAAAATATATATAAAGAATGAAAATAGTCCCCACAGTAAACGTACCTGAAGGTCATACTGAAGACCACAGCCCCCGTCATGTTATGAATAATAAAACCGTCCTTGTTGAGGTCCAGCAGCTCGGCCTTCAGCAGCTGGGCTTTATGGAGGGACGCTGAGTAGTAGCACCAGGACACCACAGCAGCCAGCACCAACACACAGCCCAACAGGCCTGCTAACACCATGGGCCGGCCCTCATGAGACAGTTTCTTCTTCATGGGAGAACCACCTGCTGTCTGCTGCTCCCCAGGAGCCACCGGCACAATCTGGTACATACTGAAGATTTACAGCAGTGAGGTGTGCAGGAGAGCAGCTTTGGAGGAAGAGTGGCTGGAGTGGACAGCTGTAGTGAACTCACTGTCAGTGTCACTGAAAATTGAATATCTGTCACACTGACAGAAGTAGAAATAAAGGAAAGCCTGATGTCTACCTGTCGATCTTGAGCAAAGCCTCCATTTCTGAATGATTTGTCCAAACCTGCAAGATGAATAAAGAGAGACAGGGATCTACATTTAGTTGACTTTTTGCTCAATTTATATCAAGTCAATGCAAAGAAAGTCATACATCATTGTCGTGTCAAATTATCATATAATCATTAAAAACATATAATCTTATACACTGATTGCCTTTTAGTTTTAATTTGTAGTCTTGTTTGTGTTTAACAGAGACATTTGTTAAGGATTTACATTTCAGGAGGGCAAAAGGAAGTGTAAAAGGGGGATATGCAAATGCTTAGGACGAGGGGGTTTAATGGTTTAATGGTGGGGATGTTTAGATGATGCCTAATGGATTTAAGGGTGGGACCAGTTGGCTATTCTCTCTACTATATAGTGTGACTGTAAGCTGTGTTCTGGGTGCAGATCCTCTGAGGAGGAAGTAGCTCTGTTCTTACATTTGGGATTGATTTCACTTGTATATTGACTTTCTTTATTACTTTATTAAATATAACAAAAGACGAACTTTGTCCATGAATCATTTATCAGTTTCTCTTAAGAATGTCCTCCACAATCATAAAGTAAATCAACAGAAAAATAATTACCAACTATTCAATATAAATAATCAATACATTTTCATGCAGAAATGTCGGGAAATGCTGTTTTTAGGCTCTCAAATATGACAGGTTTTTTGCCCTGTTTCTGTTTAATATCATGTTAAACTGAATATCTTGGACTGACAAAACAAGACATTCAAAGTGAGTAGCTTGGAACTGTTTGGGCATCTTTCACTTTTTTTATGGAACGTATAGGCCAAAACGTTAATATATTCATTTAGAGAATAATGGGCAAATTAATCGATAATGAAAGGAATTGTAGTTGAAGCCCTAATAATAATAATTACATAATAATGTTATAGTACATACAAATCCACTGTTGGTCCCTTGCCACCAACATCACAGAGGGTGTTTGACAATCCAGTTCTAATATTACCACGGAGTCTCCAGACATTAAGTTATAAATAGCTTTGGAGCTCTCCACACTGCATGATCTCCAATACACCCTAAAACAATATAGTGTACAATAGTTCTGCATGAGACAGTTACTCATAAGCAATCTAACTTCCCTTCAGTGATGCTACAGTATATTTACCACCACCACGTTGGTATATTGTTTACAAGTTAAATAGCTATATGTTACTGTACTGTGTTCACTTGCTGTCAGGTGTCTACTGCAGTGGTTCAGCAGCAACAGTGTCCCCAGCAGAGAGAGACAGAGAGAGCACACAAGCTTTAATCTGGTAAATGGTAGGTAGAGGTGCTGTTAAGCCACATTGGCACTGATAGAAACAGAACCAGTGACACCATAAAAACAGGCTTTGATCAGAAACACAATGTCAGCATAGTTAAATGACATTTATCTCTCAAGTAAAAGCACCTTGGGATTGAGTAAATAATATTTAAAAAGTAGCAAACCTCCAATAAGGGCACTGCAGCAGGCCTATAGTTTTCAGATATAGCAAAGGGCAATCATCTACAACAGAACCATATTTAATGTTGCAACAGGTATCATTATGCCTCAGTGTTGCAGTGCAGGGAGAAAATGAAATGGTTTAAGTGCATACCAAGCAAGAACCTCTGTTGCGTGACCTGTGTTCCTCTTTGAGAAAGTTTACACAACCCCCTGTTCGAATTACATCCTTTACCTTCTGTGTGTAGAATTACATAAAAAACTGCACTGCCTCTTTCAACCATCATTTGTAACTTGGTTCATTGAGTTTTTAAATCGATTGCCTTGATGTTCAAAGCAATTATATGATACATTGTGTTGGGAAAGCGTTTAATTGTGAAGTCCCAAATATTATAGCTAACTGGAAAACAGGAAACAGGCATAAAACAATGTTCTTTTACAATGATCATTGCACACACAATGTTTTATGAAGCAATAACTATTATGTTATGGATACTCTAGTTAACGATAATGGCCTGCTCACTGTGACCAGAAATTCGTTGTTGTTGTTTATGGGGACCAAATGGATGCAATGCAGTGTTTTGATATACAGTAGAAAGTATCGATTCTGATCAGTGCTGTACTATTGTCTGGTGTCTGTGGGTTACAGCGAGCTCACAAACGCAGGAACAGATTTCTCCATACTGCTAATTGTTGTTTGTTCACTTTAGTTGAAGCTATCAAACTATTACACTGCATGCAATTCATCTGACTTTGCTGAAATGATGGTCACATACAGCGCCTCCAGATGCTATGTATTTGTTTATATAATGTTCTAGAATAGTGTCGATGTGACTCGGTATAACTAAAGTATCAAGCGTTACTAATGTGCCAGTGTCGGATCGATAACCCACAAGCACTCTCCGACACGATTATCGCTGTTGTCGCTGCATACAGTGACACTGTAACCGGTCGTACCAGTTGTCAGAAATGTGGTTGGAGACGGACATGTTCACCGCTAAAAGCTTAGTTAGCCATGTCAATACGACACAAAACAGTTAGATAACACATTTAAAACTGTGGTTTCTAGCGTCGTGGTGATAAAAACAGAGTTATCTTACCTCTGCATCTGACTCTCTGGGGTCAATGTGTACACAGCTGTGAGCGCAGTACCACACTGCGCAGCTGCAGAGCTGTTTGAAGTTTCACGGTCCCGCCCCAAGCACAAAGATTCGATAATTAATCTGTCACTCATCCAATGGGCTTCTGGGAAATGTAGTGTGAGAACATGGTAAAAGAGACGAATCTACTAACTAGCTTTCAAGTTGGTTCAGATACTGAAATTGTCAAACTCTCAGCTGGGCAGGGATAAAGTAGGTAACTAATGATTACTAGTAGGCTATGGGCATCATTTTAAAATGATTGTTCGTGTGCGTTTTTAATCAAATGTGCTAGCGTTGCCCATGGAAACATTTCAAATAGGCCAATGAAAGACACAATTGTATCCGTTTTTATTAACTTACAGAATATTGTGTGTGAATATAAGTGGTTTAACCTAGCTGAATTGTTCATTGTTAACTATTTGTCTATGACGACTTTGAAAGGTGAAAAGACGGGTTGAGTGTACTCTCACCAAGTGTGTTGATAATCTGGCACTGGAGCAGGGTTGCACCACAGATTGTTTTGAACAAACTACAGAGGTGAGATCATCCGGAGTACAAATAATGTTGTTGTGACTGAGACATGCCTTCTGCCACTGGGTGACAGCAAAACACTATGAACAGGGGAGCTCAAAAACGGAACAAGAGGGCAATGGGGAACATGTAGGCATAGGCATACCCTATATTAGAAACCGTGTTAATTTTCTGAGGCAATGCACATATTCCTGTTACTCCATTTACTGTAATATCAGTTCGTTAGAAGTTTAAACAGTCCTAGCTAAAGTATACAATTATTTTGCTAGTAGTTAACGTTATAACTTTTATTTGTATGTGCAACGTTGGTGGCAGAATTAAGCTAACCTAGCTTAATATAACAATAGTAGCAGTAACATTAGCTTTGACAATTAGCATACTAGAAGCTCTTGAAGAAGTTAACCTTAGTACTTTTAACAAAAGCAGTAAACTAGTAGCAGAACCAAAATATATAAATGTGTGTTAAACATTTCGACAACCAAATTGACAAAAACAAGTAGCCTACTCAGTGGTGTAAAATAACTTTTGAGTAAGTACATTTTCTCAAGTATTGTACTTAAAGGTGGGGTAGGTAATTCACTTCAGAAACACTTTGTGTTATATTCCATGGAATGCTCTTAACATCCCGATAGCAATGAATACATTAAATGCTTTGACAATAAATACATTAAAAAAAATTCATCTGTGGAAGTCGTGGTGCTGTGCCATAGTACTGTGCACAAATGTATCTCGTGCCCTCATTGGTCATGTGCGCGTCGTGTGTTGGAGGAGGGACTCTGTAAGGAAGTCTGAAGGAAGGGGCAGATTTTTTCCGGTGGTGGTCACTATGGTCACTACCCGATCCGTCCCATGGATGTATAATAAGAATCGCTATCATACTGAATACATATTTACTGTGAATGTATGCAAAAATGTATGCCATATGGCTGTCTAACAGAAGTTAAATTAACTTCTCACTTATTCTGACAATGTACTTAACCCCAAATAAAAGAACCCAATAAAAAGAGTTGTTAAATAATAGTGAAGTCACGTTGTAATAACAATAACTCATCTCTCTCGAGTTTTCTTTTTGAGCTTTGCTAAAAGCCACTGTGTCAAGTGTCCATCTTGGGTTGCCGTCGGGGTTGCCGTCCGGAGCATGGATGTATAATAAGGGTCCGGAGTTGTCCAATATGGCGGACCATCTCGCACATGCGCAGTACCGATCGGGCAGGGGGACGGATCGGGTAGTGACAGTGTACTTTCAAATTCTAGCGCATTCGAGGCTCGAGCTGGTTTCTCCATTCTTACCTACCCTACCTTTAAGTAGCCTACTGTTTTGAGGTATTTGTACTTGAATATTTTTCATTTATCGCTACTTTACACTTCTACTCAACTACATTTCAGATCCAGATATCATACTTTTTACTCCACTACATTAATTTAACATTAACAGTTAGGCTACTCTGTACACATATACAAATATGATATGGTATAATGCAGTACTTTAATACTAAACTACTCATTGTTTCAAATAACTACATTTGGTCCAAATTGACCAAGAACAATTTGAAATTATTATTATTATTATTTTGAAATGGGACATTTTGCAGAATGAGTACTTTTACTTTTAGTACTTTAAGTACATTTTAATGCTAACCATTTTGTACTTTTTTTTATAGTGAATTTGGACTTTTACTTGTTAAAGAGTCATTTATGACAATGATGATTGTTCTTTTACTTAAGTAAAGGATCTAAGTACTTCTTTCAACACTGTGTTTACAGTATGTTGTAAACTTACCCCAGAAAACATGATGGTAGCATTTACCCATCATATTTTTAATAGGCTTTAGTGGCTTTAAGGCAAGGAAGAACATGGGCTCATGGTAAAAGTAAAAAAAAGACATGATGGGAATATCACTAGAACTTGTGATACTGTTTCAGTTGAAAAACGACTGTTTGTGGTAAGAGTGCAAACGTATTGGTGATATTTGTAGAAGCACTAATAGTATTTGGCAACTCTGTTTCAGAAGCTGCACTGGTGGAAATATCTCAGGAGCCAGACTGACTGTCAGGGTGCAGAGGGCAGATGCTGCTGGTGCTGCTGATGTCCCTGCTCTGCTGTGTCCCTGCAGCAAAGGCCTGTCTGCATTGCGACCGAAGCATCAGGCTCCTACATGAGGACTTTGTCTTGTCTGCTCCTTCGGTGAACGACCAGATTGAAATACAAAAGATTTGTGACTATGCATATGTGACCTACAGAGAGACCAGCCAGGAGCGAAAGGGAGTTATTGGTGAGATAAATATTTGGTTCAGCACAAAAACAATATGGCATGTGTGTGAAGTATGCTGATTATTTTATTAAGCCAACTTATGTCCCATATGTTCTTTCTATCTTTCCATTATAGTTTTTTATAATTTAACTGTGACATATTAAAAAAGATCAGTAATATATTATTGTCTGTTGCCCATTGCTCAGATCCCACCACTCTGTACAGAGTCAGAACTGAGTACCAGAGTGAATTTCACCGCTTCTTGAAAACCCAGCACACTGGTGAGAAACATAATACGTTTTTATTTGTCATCACTGACGATCTTTAGACAAGCAAGACGGAACAAACTCAATGTGGACAAGATTTCTAAGACAGTCTGCTCTTTTTTAAAGGATCTGTACAATTTGAAGCCATTCAGATAATGGAGAAGGGCAGGAAGATCTTAGAAAAACACTTGGACATATTCATCCAGGATGGTAATTGACATGAATATTAGTATGTGTTTTGCACAGTGTGAGGCAGGGCACATGTGTAAGGCATTGTCATGTACAGTACAGGATGCATTAGTTACAGAGCATTCGTTTGTCTTCCTTTAGGATTGTGCCCCAACAAGTGTGGTAAGTTTTGTTCTAATGATCCTTCCCCTCTGTATCTGCTGTATTAATCCCTTGTTGAAGAACAGTGTGTGTGTACTATATTCAGTGCATGTTCACAAGACATGAGTGTGTGGTATGGTTTTTCAGGGCTTTTGAAACGAAGAGTAATGGATTGCTTCTCTTGCCGCTACCAGATATACGTCTGTCCCTCTCCCTCAGGCCAGCAGAACTGTGGCGGTATATCTTTATTTGTTTCTGTGTATATTTGTGCATGATGTCGGTGAGTGGGTGTGGGATGAACGTACTTCTGTAATCGGTTCCTAAGCGAAGCACTGGTGCTGCTGTCCATGTGTGGGTTAATACAAAATATTATTCAAGTTATCCTGATGCAAATGAGTCTAGCTTCTCTCTTTTGTCTCCTCTCACTCACTGTAGACTACCCAGTGCAGGCTGAGGAGGGGGGGCAGGCAGTGTTGAACTGTTTCCTTCCATGGCATCGCATTCTGTTAGAAAAAACAGAGTATCACTACTCCTGGGCCCCCGGTGTGCCAGGAACTAAAAAAGTATGTTTGCAATCACTATCTCTTCCTGAAAGGTGTCCACAAAAACAGCGTGGGTTTAACACTTTCAACCACTTTGCACACTTCCTTATTCCAGTGTATTACAATATGTTCCTTTTTTAGATGAACCCAATCGTCATGTACATGCACATTTACTCCAAGCCACTAACTCACAACTATCACTTCCTAATGTGTGTGCAGCTGAACGAGAGTGACTTCAAAGCATTGGTAGTGACAGACGACTCATCTGTGGTCTTAAATCAGCTGCATGTGGCTGAACAGGGAACATATCGCTGCTCTCTGCAGGGCCGTAATGGAACTATTTTCTACCGAGTCACTTTCCTCCTCACTGGTAGGGTACAGCTCTTATACATGATATCACAGAAATTGTCGCTCAAAGGGCAAAAGGCAACAACACATGCTCAATTTCTCACTTTTAACAGTTCAAACATAGAAGATGTTTGAACTGAAGAAACAATTTGTCAATTCTATATAATGGCAGTAAATTAAACACTCAGATCGAATGTCTCGCTGTTGGTGTTTAAGTGCTCCTTAAATGTTAGACTTTAGGGCCATGGGGATGTTAAAGGATATCCAGGCGAATTCTGAAACGGTTACTTTCAAACAAATAATTCCCATAATGTTGAAAAAGTTAAACTAATGGCTTGTACTTATTTACTGCATATGTGTGTGTCTGTGCTTTTTGCTGGTTAAGTGGATGCAGGATGTATGAATGTCTTTAACTGGGTTGGTGTTTTTCTTCTTATTCACTCGGTGGGCTTTCTTTTGGCCTATTTGATGTTCATTATGCTGAATGGATTTAAAACAAAGCACACAGGGTTAACCTGTATTAAAATGTGCTATGTATTGCAAATTAAAAACAAAACAAATAATGCCAGTTGCATAAAAAACATGTTGATATCTGTACCTTATGCTTATAGTTGCCTGCTAAATTAACAAAATAAATATTCCCTGAGAGAAAGCTTTTTGTAAACGTTCACGGCCTCAGCATGTTTGCTCATAGGTCCTGCTTCTATATTTTCCTCCAAAGAGAGATGTTTTTACAACTCTACTATCTCATCTCTCTGTGGTTGCCCTCCTCCCTCTTCACAGTCGCCCCTGTGCCTGAACCAGCTCTCCGACCCGTGGTCACGCTGCCCTCGCTGCCTCACGGAGACAACTACTCAACTTTCCATCCTGAAGACCTGCTGGTGCCACTCATCGCCATGGTTACTGCTATGAGTCTGGCAGTGATCATAGGCCTCACAGTTGTCCTGGGGTGAGAGACATTAAGTGGGTGGGGGGAGAAAGAGAGATAGAGGGTAGCAGGAAGGGGTGGGTGTGAAAGCGGTGACACGTAACAGTCACAGAGTATGACAAACTAAAAATGATGCAAGATAAAGGAAGTGGCCATGTACAGTAGTCATATAATATTGGAGGAGTGAATCATGATGTATGAGACATACGTATTTTAGTTATAAATATGTTCATTGTTTTCAATTAACTTTTTACGTCATTAAGCCGTTTTCTCTGAAAAAATCGTCACTTCTTACAGGAAGTAATGTCAGTCAATGTGTTCGATTTTAAACACACGAACAAGGTCATCCGGTCACTTGCTGTTATTTCTTTGTGTTAGGTCTGGACCTAATTTAATATTACTGTTTGTAATCTTTTTAAGAATGATGATGAGTCAGAGGAGAGCCACAGAGGAGCCGAGGAGGAGGACGGAGAGGAAGAACACACCAAACACGGTGTAATAAAGATACTGTATACACACATTACAGGCAGGGAAGTTTTACTCACTTATAACACAGGTTGGACATTTCTCTTAAAAGCTAAATACATTTCCCGACACAAAGAGCCAAGTAGAAATTCCACAGAAGTGAGAAACATGTTGATATGTTGTTTGTCTTAAGCAATGAAAAAAAACTCAAGCACTCAATCATTATGAATCAGACACTGATCTCCCTCGTAAAACAGAAAGTGCGTGTTGTAATAAAACTAGAGACACACACCCACTAAAAATCCCCCAGAAATGTCTCAACTTTCCGTAACATTTAGATTACGCTTGCCAGAACACATCAATGATCTGACCCAAGCGGGGTCACGTTCCCCCAATATGGAGTTATGGCGTTGTCACGTGGGCGTTTATGAGAGGAATCAGGGACGAGGTAAATCTCTCGGCTTAGTGTTTTTTTCGGAGATTAATAGCTCCAGCCATCCAATTCATCCTGGATAATCCCCATGTGGGAGGCAGGGAGGAAGGCTAGCTGCAGATATTTTACAAGGGTTTCTTTTAATGTGTATTTACCTAAGAGAGAAGGGACACATTTTTGCTTTACCAATAATGCTCTTAGTCTGAAGTTACCATTTTATTGCATCACCAGATGTTTTATTCTCTGTTTCCGTCTGCCTATAGTGTGCCCTCTCTACATTTTGATGACACACGCTGATTCAAAAAGTAGTCACCTTTACCTACACAAGTTCTGTCATGATCTCCATTGCCTCCTCGTTATCACCTCTATACGTCTTGTCAGGCGTCGTATCATCTGCTCACTGAAGCAATTTATCTTTCATGCCTTGAGCTATTTTCAGCATCTTCAGCTCGCTGTCAATAGAAAAGTCAAACTTCCTACAATAGACATAATAACAACAAGTTCACACCCATCTCTCAGCATCATGTCAGGCCAGATTTAGTTTTGGCTGATTATTTGCCTACAATGACTGACTGATGTGCTAATTTAGGAAAGTTAAACATCCTAACCAAAGAAAACTGAAAGCTAGTGAATGATTGATGTATGAGTCACTGCATCCAGAATTTAAGTAACTTAGTCACCTCTGAAATCATTCATCTTTGCTCAGGTTTTTCAGGGTAATTTCCAACAAACATTTTGAGTCAGGGAAGTCTGTTATTAGCTATGACAAATGAAACAAAGTTGGAGGGATGAGAGTGTGTGTATGGTGACAGGATGTGTGTGTGTAGTGCTGTTTCCTGTGGGACTCTTGTGATGTAGCCGAATGTTAAAAAAAGAAATCTTTGTTTAACCATCCTCAAACAGAGACAGTCATGTCACACTCTTCCTACTCAACAGACCTCAATGTGTGTGTTCAAGCCCTAAAGTGCAGGTTGAGGCTACACTAAATGCATGCTCAGCGGCTCTGCTGACAGCCATGATAAACTGTTAACCCAAGTCAGTGTGTGGAGTGAAAACGCAGCCTCAGCAGGGGGAGAGCAAGACAAAGTGGGAGGGCTGCTGAGGGGCCAGCAAACAGGCTGAGGGAGGGAAAGAAGGAAATGGAAACAAGAAAGTAGAGTCAGAGGTTTGAGTGGGAGACGTATGTGGGAAGGCAGGGTAACTTTTACGTGGTTGTGAGGAAATGAAGACAAAGGCGTCAGATTACACTTCGATATTAACTATCCCACACTGAAGAATGTTTTGCTGTGGGTTACTTACAGGACAATGAGTACACTGTATCCAGGGGTGGGAGCCACATTTAGGAAAACTAAATATTACTCATGTAGGATTGAGACAAGTTAAATTGAAAGCAATACTCAAGTTAAAACACAATAAAAACCATCTTGAGATGTAATTAAAACACCTATAATCTAAAGTGTTTCTCTATAATTAAATAATAAAGATCTGAGTATAAGTAAACATTCTTAAATCATCAATAAGTTTCATTAAGCAAATGTACCTGATCGGCGTGTGGGTATTGTTTAAGTAGACAACGTTGTCACCCACACCTTTTATTACATCCAAAAAATACTAACCCCTTACGCAACATCCCTCCCCCTAAAACCAGTGAGCAGATGACAGACAAAAACACAAAAATATAAATCACTCTGGTTTTTAGGACTTTAGATAACCAAGAAAGAGTTAAAGGGGCATCTTAACTATAACCACCTAAACATTAAAAAGAAAATCTACAACCTTTGTAATCTTTACCATTAATGGTCTTTAGAGTTTGATAAAGACATATTTCAATCATTTGTTTTATGCTGTTTCCTTTTTTAGAAAGCTTTCTACCAAATGTATGAGACAAAAGTGTCTCACAATTTATATCCTGTTTGCTTAGCTAAAGGCCTATTCTTCTTCAGCACATTACTTTAAATTATACAGTATAATACTGTACTGAATTGATACGTCTGGACATTATCTATATTTTCCTCATCAATCCTATGGAACACATTCTTGTTCTTTTGTTCCATGACCTCCATTGTTGTCCAGAACGATTAAAAGCAAATTGATGAGCCGTAGTGTAATGAACAAGTAGTACACTGTCGTTTTTTGTGTGAAATCATCATGCTCGCTTGTGCACCAATTCCACAGCTTAAAAAATTCCCCAATTAAGTTACTGTTCACTCCTCTTTGAGTAACTTGTATTAAAAGGTAGAGTATTTACTCAAGCATTTTTTGTAAATTATTATAATTTTTTTATTAAGCTTTTAAAAAATGTTTAAGTATTGTTTGTAACATTTTAAAAGATTGTTTGTCTTGTTAGCTTCTTCGGATTTGTTGAGATAAAAAAAAAAATAGAATATCACCAGCCGTATGGTTTGAGTGTAATTGAATGTATTCAAAGTGTAAGTTTATGAAAACTCATGGTATAGTACAAGTATGGGATTGTTTAAGTTACTTTACACTTCGCCTATGTGCTAAATAAAATGTCTGTTAAAAACAACGTAATCCATATCTGGCACAGGCCTTAATCCTTGTACAAAAAGTAGGACAAATGCTGTATCTGATATAACCAGTGCAACTGTTGCCTAGACGGCAGAGATTTGTTTTTCTGTTCAGTGTAATGTCATATGATATGAGAAAAGAAAGAATGATTTCCCAGCAGAGAAGCAACAAGGCAATCAGTCCAGTTCTGACAATGTATCTGTGCATCATTTAACTTTCACTGAAAGTGAAAAGCAACAAAGTAAAAGCTTTGAGAGGAAAGTGTTTTTCTAGTGTGTGATCTTCATGAAAACAGAAGCTGGAAGGCAGTAGTTTAGAGAAGCTCAGGTTTAATCTAACCCAAATAAATCATCTCTAAAGGTAACTCAAAGCATAACGTCACTCAACACAAAAACACAGGATAACCCCAAACCACCACGTGCGCGGTCGGAAAATCTGACTTGACGTCAGTGTCCATATGAGGAGTGACGGCCGGGCCATATATGGTCGTTCCGCCTTTGACGTCGTTCCTTCTGTGGAAAACAAAGGCGGGGTCTCGGAGACCACGCCCCTCTCCCAGCTGTTATCAATGAAACTCTCAACCGACAGTTGATTTGAACAGACCTGTCGGAGAATTCAACAAGTGCTCTCTAGATACATTTGTAGTAGATTTTAATATCATTACCAAAAGTAACTTACTTTATCAATCTCTTCGAATTCCCACAGGAAGAAGCCTGCTTTATTGTTGTTGCTTAGAACAAATAGTTTATTATTTATTTATTTTTAAACACATTATTTACAGTTATGATTTCAAGCAGTGAGCCTTTGGAGATAAGTAGCAATGAGCTGGTTCACATCCTGAGGACCCCCATGGAGCAGTACACCTCTGCTGGCTGTGTGGTGCTCGACTGCAGACCCTTCCTCAATTTTTCCTTTGCGCACATTTGCGAGTCCCGAAACGTCAACTGGAACTCAATGATGCGCCGTAGATCCAAGAGCTCGGTGGTGGCTCTGGAGTGGCTCATACCGGACAAGGCGCTCCTGGGCCGGCTGCGGCGCGGGGACTTCTCCCCGGTGGTGGTGGTGGATGAGAGCAGCCGCTCCGTAGCCGAGCTGAGGCCAGAGAGCGTGGCGCATATGCTACTCACCACCCTGCACAACGAGGTTAACACGCAGATCTGCTTCCTACAAGGTACACTTACCATCTGCTTTTACGCACCAACTAAATATTTTAGGCTACTGTTAAAATTGAGTTGTTGTACTTTTTGACTTGGAAACATGAGCTATATGGTGAACAATATATCTATACTACAATATAGTATAACAGTTTAAATATCCACAATCAAACCTTAAGGTTAAAAACTTGAGAATTTTTTTTAAGTGATTGTTTTTCTTGTTTACCAGGACAATTTTCTTGTTTCATGCATAACTGTTTTTAAGGATGAATTTAGTGATAGCTTGGAACTTGGCTAATACTATGTTATCTCCCTTTTAAGGTGGATTGGAGGGATTTTCTGAGGCCTATCCAGAGCTCTGTTACAGCTCAGCCTGCAGTCAGCTCTCTGCAGTGGAACCAGAGCCCATGGTGACGGGTCGGAGAACACCAGCATATGATCGGGTAAATTCAAAATAATCTTTGAGAGCTATTAGACAATAAATGTAAAGTATTCAAGAGTTCGCATCAAAAATCAATGTGGAAAAAAAAGATAAAACTGCTTGATTATTCTTGAATTATAAACATGGACCCTTTTTTATGATTTTGTAAATTGTAGGATGGTCCGGTGGAGCTGCTGCCCTTCCTGTTTTTGGGCAGTGCCATCCACTCCTCCCGCAGAGAGACCCTCGCAGCAGCGGGCATCACTGCTGTGCTCAATGTTTCCTCCACATGCCCAAACTTCTATGAGGGGGATTTTCAGTATCTGCAGCTCATGGTGGAGGACAATCTGGCTGCTGACATCGGAGCCTGCTTCTCCACAGCCATCGCTTTCATCGGTGAGTTCATTATTACAATCAATATTTGCTTAATGTCAAGAAACAAAATGAGAAGACCCACCTGGCACAAAATGAATTGGTCTCATGTTAGCTTAGTGAGTCAACTTTCCCAAAAAATGAGCTTGTACACTGAAATTCATTCTGTAGCCTATAGTCTTATGGACCAACAGTGTAATCACCTGAATACAAAACAACTGGCTTAGGCTGCAGAAGACAGCTGTGTTTATGTTGTTTTTATTTGACACCTTTATCAAGTTTAGTTAAGTTGAACACAGAGTTGAATTTATAAGAACTGACTTTATTCATAAGAACTCACTTTATTCATGGTGACTGCACTTACATCTCTGGTCATTCAGTGTAAAGCTTTAATTGTATTTCTGCATGTAATACATTTCCACTGATGTCAGAGAAACCGATGTGAAATGGAAAGCACTGTGCTCATCTGTCTTCCTCTTTCCGCTCTCCGCCTACAGACTCGGTGAAGCAGAGTGGTGGTCGGGTGCTGGTGCACTGCCAGGCAGGTATTTCCCGCTCCGCCACCATCTGTCTGGCCTACCTCATGCACACGCAGCGCGTCAAGCTCGATGAGGCCTTCGACTTTGTGAAGCAACGCCGCCAGGTCATCTCCCCCAACCTGGCCTTCATGGGACAGCTGCTGCAGTTTGAAACTGACGTGCTGTGCCAGGGATGAAGACATTGACACATTTTATATGACTGTTATTTTTTTATGAGGAAAGCTACTTGTGCTGCTGGCATCACAAGGCTGGGGAAGCTGGACTTTTACTTTTCAGGAGGAACTGAAAAACAGCAGATGGTAATATAAAGGTATTATGAACAATTGTGATTCTGAGCCAGCAAGTTGGAGCAGCAATCAGGTGACTTCCTGTGTGTGTGTGTGTGTGTGTGTGTGTGTGTGTGTGTGTGTGTGTGTGTGTGTGTGGTGTGTGTGTGTGTGTGTGTGTGTGTGTGTGTGTGTGTGTGTGTGTGTGTGTGTGTGTGTGTGTGTGTGTGTGTGTGTGTGTGTGTGTGTGTGTGTGTGTGTGTGTGTTGTGTGTGTGTGTGTGTGTGTGTGTGTGTGTGTGTGTGTGTGTGTGTGGTGTGTGTGTGTGTGTGTGTGTGTGTTGTGTGTGTGTGTGTGTGTGTGTGTGTGGTGTGTGTGTGTGTGTGTGTGTTGTGTGTGTGTGTGTGTGGTGTGTGTGTGTGTGTGTGTGTGTGTGTGTGTGTGTGTGTGTGTGTGTGTGTGTGTGTGTGTGTGTGTGTGTGTGTGTGTGTGTGTGTGTGTGTGTGTGTGTGTGTGTGTGTGTGTGTGTGTGTGTGTGTAAAAAAATATTCTGGAAGACTCAGGTTTATTTGTGAAAGTTATAGAAATGCACTAACTTCTGTTGGTTTGGTATCATTCTGTATCCTGAGATGGATTACACTCGGTGCATTCAAGCTGGAAGAAGATGTTTTTGTCATGTGAATCTTATTTTTAATAATTATTTCAGTATTTGTCTGACGGTGTTAGAATTATTACTGTCTTTTACTGCACTTTATCGTTTGGCTGATTCCTGCTGTTTTTTTTCCACTTAAATTAAAACATGTTGGAGAACAATGTGAGTCTGTATAATGTCCTTCTTTCATGTGTGCTGTGACACACATTGCACATACTATATTCTAAAAAGAAATGGTCAATATATCACCCATATTTCCACTGCATAAGTTCATAAACTGACCTTGTTGCACTATTGCTAAACCTGAAAGTTTTAAAACTGCTTTGCTGAGGCTTTCGGAGGATTATCTAAAGAGAAGGGGTTTAACTGTCTGAATTCCTTTTGACCTCAACTTCCTCTTACATCAATTTCAAATCCATTTACTTCAGTTGCAACTTTGGACAACTTTAGCAACTTTTTAGCTACTTGATTATACATTCAAGACGGCAGTAAACCACAAAGGGCAATTGTAGTCAGGAAGTGTGAAAGGTAAACTAAATGACAACTTGCAGATTTATTATCCCATAAGCACTCCATCAACACATTCTTTTTACACACTGCATGTCATTTGACCAAATGCTGTTTCTTAATTTTTCCAGTTTTCAGTTTAGCTATAATGACATCCTGATATGTGCTAAACATGTCCGACGACCATCGGTCACAAGACTACCAAACAGTTAATCTACTTTATTGTATTATCACGGGTACAGGTCTACTTTCCATGCCTTGCTACAAGGTCCACAGCAAGTCACAATATTTGAGACATTGAATTGTGTGTGTTCAATTCAAGTGTTCTATAATTAACAGTATAAACATGCAGTGAACTCTGACTTAAAAGTAGTGCATAAAACTCCGGCTGCCTCCACTACCTCATCCTCTAAGTATGCCACCAACATTCTTGTCATAAGCAAAGCTTAATAATCCTCTTCCTTTAATCAACAAGTATGTATTTCTCAAATTATATCCAAGCGTAACTTTTGTACTTGACTTTTTCCTTCCATTATCCGGAGCTTCTAGACACAGAGCACAGAAATAATGTCAGAGTTTATCAAAGTTTTGACACTGTTTAAAGATTTAAATAGATAATTCAAGCATTGCCTTAAGCTGCGTGATTGTTTCTGGAAGGACTGGGGCGGAGATTCCATGTATATGATGAATACACCTACACTGTAATCCATGCACTATTCATCTACCTGCTGTGAGCTGTCATTAATGTCCACTTTATTTTTCATTCGCTTTCCATTAACATCCTCATGATTAAAACAGGGGGAAAGAAGGATAGGGAGAAGATAAATAAATATTTGGTCAGTTTTAGTAGATATAATTACTGAAGCACAGTAAAGAGGTATTTGTACGTTACTTGAGTATCCATTGATATATACATAATTGTTTATACCTTAAGTAGAAATTTGAATTCAGAACTTTTAAGGTAATTTTACTTGCATATTTGCTTACCATTTAGCAAAGAATCTGAGTATTTCTTTCACCATTTCAAGTGGTTTTACAGCCAGATCAATTAGTTGATTGTAGAAAATGTGTTGGCAACAGGGGCCAATTTTCTGCATTGGTACCATAACTAAATCTTCTGATAAGACTTACTTAATTGTAGTAACAATTTCAATACTGCACATTGACATATATTTTAAATAAGTGTGGTATTAGTAATTTTACTGACGTACGTATCTTTCTTCATAATTGATACTTATTGTATGTTGCTTTGGATGAATGAAATGTAGTCTAATGTAAATGATCCAAATGCTTTATCCACCACTGCTATATTATCATCCAGTCAAAGTTATATCAAGCATTGGACATTAGTTTGTAGTGAGACAGCGCTCTCTAGTGACAACCTTTGAAACCAGCAGAAATCTAAATGATTAAAAAGTATCCAGCAGATGACGCCAGCAGACTGTTTGTTATTCGAGGCAGCCTTTTATTATAGAGATAACACATTAAAGCTATACACATCTCTAACACCCACAAACCCTTTCTATCTGAGAGGTTTCCTAATACATGATTGACCATTAACACATTTAATTTAATTTAATTGACTTTTTGGTGCATCGGGCTTAATCATTTATTTATCACTGGAAGCAGACTGCTCCACCTCCTTTATTTGGATGTCTCTCTCCTCTCGTTTGTTGTCTTCACTTCCTCCTCAGTCAGTCAGGCTCCTTGATGAAAACAGACTCAAACCATTACTCACACTCTGCGTCCACATTAACCACTGTCAGGATAAATCATATAACATTAGGCTGTGGCTGTACCTCCCAAAGGTGTGTGTTTGTGTGCATTTGCCTGTGCTGCATGTACAAAAAGAAGAGAGTGGGAGATTAGAGATCTGCACAGATATCACACTTACATTATTTGTTGTTCACAGCTGGAGACTATGTCACTCAAACAAGAAATCCCAGTCGGGTAAAACTGCTTACAGACAATATAATATGAGCAATATATGTGATACTGTTAGCTGGGGAATATCAATGAGGTGCTATAACACACAATTACTGGCCTACATGCAAACACAAAATCAGCAATTGTAATCATTACAAATGCAGTGAGGACAATTATATTGTGACCCTCTGGGAGAGCTCCCTGTCATTGTCTACACTACAGGTTACAAACATTCTCACTTTAATGCTATAAATCTGAGGATCCTCACCTAAATAATGACTGTTAGTGAAAGGGGTTGCCAACAATATCAACGGATAGGTAATTAAATGACAACATTCTCTTTGTCTATAATAGAAAATAATAAGTACTTTCCTGAGTACTTTTACCTCTTTAGTCATCTAAAACCATGCACTACTCAAACTGAGAAGAGAAAAATATATCCGAACAAAGTCATATACAAAGTTTGACAAGTGGGTTAAATTAGACATAACTTTTTTGTGAAGGGTCCAATGCCAAAAAGGTTGATAACTGCTGCCTGTGTCACCCCTTATCTTAAACACTCTTGCCTAACCCATGGCCAGTATCTTCACTTAACCTAAAATATAGTGCAATTTTACCCCTAAAATCAGGTCTTATTCCGTTGCTAGACAAACGGTTGCCACTTTCAAACTCCAAACTAAAGGTGCAAGAATATGCACGCATATTAGACAGGAGACAAATACAAGTCAAAGGTCCTGACCTGCAGTTATTTGGCAACCATTTGGAAAACAGTCTTTAAAGACAATTTGACTTCACTTTTTTATTGTGTTAAATCCTATTGTACCAATAGACTTCAGGAGGTTTTGGAATGAAGAAAGTTTTCTCAAAGAGTGGATGCTCCACAAACCAAGTGTAAAATCTTGTGATCCATAACGCTGGAGTTTCCTCCAGGAATACTGACTGTGTGTGTGTGTATCAGTGTAAACTTTTGTATACCACATGCTCTTACACAACAAGCACTTGAGAAGCGCTGTACTGTGCACTGAACGCTGTGTGCTGCTCAGTCTCTATAACCTTGGCTTCAGTGACACACCCCTCTCCCCCAGCATGCATTTCCAGCGTGTTACTAAGCACAATTCACCCATGGAAACAGAGACACTTGATTGGAGTGCACTCTCCCGCTAAAAGCTTTATTCTCTTTCCCTTTATATTTAGAATGTGTAGCGTGGAGTGGAAAATGTACAAACCATTATTGGTTTCTGGATCAGGTCACACAATCAGAGAGCATGGCTCCCAATTGTAATTCCATGGGTGGCGAGCTGGGTTTCTCTCTCATTACAGCAGCAACGTGTGGGGGCTGCACTACAAAAACAAGCATACAAGACCTTTTACCCACACACCATTCATAAGATTGTGTGTGTGCATGTATAGGCTGGTGAATATGTGTGTGTGTTTGTTTGTTTGTTTGTGAGTTTGTATCACAGGTATACACCCACATACTTTTAAAAGCCACGGGATAAACTCTGCTACCCTTTAATTTAGGGCTCAGCCAGCATGACGTAGGTTTCACCCGATAATTGAACAATCGAGCACTTGATCTCAGGTGGGCAACAAATGGTGAGGGGGCTGTGGATGCCTGCTTCCTGGGGGAGGGAGTGTGTCAGGGAGCATAATGCTGAGGGATTTAGATGGGGAAGTCAGTGATGATGCGTGAGCACAGAAAGCAAGTGCCTAACCCTCTGCCCTGCAGTTTGCACAATAAGCAGAGGTGGAAGGTAACTCAGTGCATTTACCCGTGAGTTGTGAGGGAGAGTAAGCGGAGCATGAGGAGACTTCATCATTTCCTAGACCATATTTCATAAGTTAATAATTCACTTTTACAAAAACAATATTTGATGGTTGCAACTAACAGTTTCTTCACTGCATATGCAAAATCTGCCCATCTACATTTAAAACATTAATAATGTAATAAAACCTTATAAGGTGATATTTGTTTAAATGAGGGCTCTCACTTTCTTTTTTAAATCTTAAAAGTTTTGACACATTTCTAACAACTAGGAATGAGCCCTTCTTTAAAGTGCTCTATCAATATGTAGGCTATGAAGGACATAGATGACCATGATAAAACACTCACAATACATCATGGCAGCAAGTACAGTATCTTACATGTGTTTGAAATATATAGGTTTGACATGAACTATCTAACAAAAAAGTCTAAAAATCAGAACAGGCTTGTGACCAGGTTAGGTATAAAAGGTGAGTATCAGTCCATCAATCTCCAGCTGCTGCAGTGAAACATTTTATTGGCCCAAAATAACTGGAGCTGTTGGGTGGCACATGGAAACATGGTGGGAAAAACTGGCTACAAAGGCATTGATACAACATGCTATCTAATTGAAAAGCATTATGAAGCCAAATGTGCTGAGCCACATATTGAAGGAGCTGACGACTGAGCAGCTTCAATTAGTTCAGGGTTGCGTTCCGATAATCCAAAAATCAGCTCCTAAATTCTAACCCTATCTCCTATTCCTTGACCTCTGAGTGAAACGTCACGGGGTTAAGGGATAGTGGATAGGAGAATTCAAAAGGATTTAGGAGAAGAGACTGCGGTACTTTAGAGAATCCGAATGCACTTTCACTATCCAACGTGTTTATGATGCGCCAGCGGACGTCATGAATGTGCGTCTGCTGCTGTGGGGAAACTATGGAAACTACAGTTTTTTATACAGCGGACTACAACATGGATGTTTAATAAGAAGGTGGGACTACTGTGAACTCATCTAGAGACTCTGCACCGTGCTCTGATGCTGTTGCTTTATGCTTTATGAACGTGGACAACAGAGAAACATATTCTTCATGACCAAAGTTGGAATTGAAATAAAAAAGGAAAGTGAAACTTATGCTCGTCACCCTCTCCCTCCGGTCCACATGAATACAAATGATCCCAATACGTATGAACTATGAAAAAATCTTAAAAATAAATACAAATGTACTATTTATTATAAACGTTAGTCCTTAACATCTATCACTGTGTGTATCACCATTCAAACATCTTTTAAAAGTTGAACAAACTCCACACAGCTCAGTAAAGACTGTGAAATGTTGACTTTATTTGATCATTTCAGTAAAAACTAACGTTCATATTTCTCTTTGATTATAATACTGATGAACGTTCAAAACAAAGCACTTTGGCAACTTACCACATACGTTTTAAAATGCTTAATAAGCACCGTAACTTTCATGATATAATTTCTCGGTCATAATCGGTTGTTTCCGTGAACGGCCGACTGTTGAGTGACGGCAAATGCTGCGGCTGCAATGCATTGTGGGGCAGCATTTTCTCCTCTCCTTTCCTCAAGGGAGGTCCTTTCATTTAGAGAATTGGAACGGCACTTATCATGGCTGCCACTGAGGGACTTTCGGGTCATTTCACTCCGTTAGGAAGGTTCCTAAGCTAAATGGACTATTGGAATGCAACCCAGGAGTCCCTGCAGGAAACATATGCTTCCTCTAGCATATGGCATCAAGTCAGCTGTATCCCGTGGAGTTAATTGACCAAAGCAGTGGCACCCAACAAGCCATTTCTAATATAACTGCGTTGGTTGAACTGCTTGGATATACATTTAATGTGAGATGGAGAGAGGGAGGGCTCCGGTGGGGGGGGGGGGGGGGGGGGGGGGGGGGGGGGCACAGGGAGCGAGGAAGTAAGGGTCCCATGACGCCCACAGCTCCACAATGACATCACCAGGTCTAAAAAGAAGCGCAAGAGGGAGCTGGGAGGCACCCCACTTATTAGATTTCCTCGCAAGGTCCTGTTCACAAGTGAGGGTGCTGCTGCGCCTCTGTGAGGGAGCCTGTGATGTGCGCAGGAGGAGCGGCTGTATCTTTGCATCCTGATGAAGTTCTGAAAATACAAAGAACCACGGAAAGAGGAAACATCTCCTGAGACTCACACACAGAAGCTGCTCTTTGGGAATAGACTCACTGCTGAACAAACAACGCGTTTTGACTTCATATCTGGCTTCACGCGCAAAGCTGGAGAGACTGAGGTTAACTCTGTGCTTTCTCTTATTCGATTGACTCGAAACGCTGCCATCGCATGGAAACATTTGTATATTTTTATTAACAAATCCGTATAAATATTGCACTGTACATTTATTTCACTTTATCTAAACCTCTCCGTGATCGCCGTACAGATGAGACTCCTAATCAAACGCGCGTCTCCAAACGAGGACGCACGGAGATCGAACAGGGATTATTTTCTCTCGTCTGGTCCCTTGTTGTCACTTCGTTATAAATGACACCAAATTACATTATTAAAAAAAATACGATCTTAAAAACGGTAAAAGATTAAAGCATTAAACTTCGTGTGCTATAGAAGTTTTAGTTTTCGGGCTTTGTTTATACTTTGGAAAGGTTGGGGGTTGGTGAACAGCAGTCAGCGTCACGAAAAATACCTCCGTTTTTGGGGGGGTTAAAAACTGCTCGACATAGTGGCAAATCTCGTATTCATTTAAAGCAGTGGTCCGTGTCCTGACGCATTGCCCAGGACTGTTTTGTATGCTTAAAATGGACCTGGCTGAGCTGCCGTGGAGGATGCAAGGGAGCTATCGTTTGGACACTGCTCAGGGACAAAACGAGAGAAACTGAGGTAAATATTATATAAATGATACTTTTACTATTATCACAAATATTACAAAAAATGTAACACGTATTTTACGCACAAACAATGTAAGATAATATTTTTAAAGAGTATGAGAACCCTTAAAAGTGACATAGAATTTGAAAATAAATTGTATTCAGTGGGCAAACATGTGTTTTTGTCTAAAAGGACTATTTGAAAGCTAATCCCAGCATGGCATTGGTTCCGGAGAACGGCTGCTCCATGGAGCTGAGCGGCTGGAACAGCAGCGTGAGCGGTGCCGGAGCCTCCGTGCCCTGCAACCAGAGCATCCTGAAGCCCGCCCCTTACTCCCCTGAAGCCACAGCGGTATTCGCCACCGCCATCACCCTAATGGTCGTCTTCACTATCGTGGGCAACATCATGGTCATCATCGCGGTGCTGACCAGCCGGTCCCTCCGAGGACCCCAGAATCTGTTCCTAGTGTCACTGGCTGCTGCAGACATTTTAGTGGCCACACTTATCATTCCCTTTTCTCTGGCCAATGAACTGCTTGGCTATTGGTACTTCAAGTCACTGTGGTGTGAGATCTACTTGGCACTGGATGTGTTGTTCTGCACCTCCTCCATTGTTCACCTGTGTGCCATCTCCCTGGACCGCTATCTGTCCATCTCCAGGGTCACATACGGGCGCCAGCGCACCCCCAAGCGCATCAAAGCCGCTATTGTGGTGGTGTGGCTCATCTCTGCCATCATCTCCTTTCCTCCCCTGCTGTCACTGAACAAACGTGAGGCAGGAGAGGAGGGGACTGAGAGAGGACCCCAGTGCCAGCTAAATGATGAGCGCTGGTACATCCTTTACTCAACCATTGGCTCCTTCTTTGCTCCATGCCTCATCATGATCCTGGTCTATGTAAGAATCTACCAAATTGCCAAACAGAGAACACGTTGCCCCCCGGGAGAGCCCAGGAAGGATGGGGTCGGCTGTGCCACACCAGGTCAGACTCCACGACATATCCAGGCCAACGGGAAGGATGATGAAGAAAGCACACCGCCTTCATCCAACAAAACCTCTCGTGCCAGACCCCCCACCCTCGCCATCACCCCGTCCCCCTCCTCAGGAGACACTCAAACCCCCCTAAATCCCACTTCCAATAATCTCCTGCAACCTCCATCCCCTTCTCTAGCCATGACCCCTGTCACAACCTCCCTTGAGACCTCTCCTCGTGGCCCCTTAACTCCCCCCTCTGTGCCCGCCTCTGCCAACACTAAAGAGAAGGGGAAGAAGGGCAAGAAGCAGGCAGGGAAAAAAGCTGACAATAACAATGGTGACAGCTCGAGCACAGAGAGCGACATGGAGCACAGCCATGGAGGAGGCCGAGGCAGCGCCAGCATGCCAGGGTCCCCTGCAGGAGGGGGGGTCCACTCCCCGGCCTCAGTCATACGCTACCGGGAAATGATGGCAACTTCAAAAGGGGCTCGGCTGGTCCCGGGGAGGAAGTCAAAGACAGAGAACAACCCTGGAGCAGCGAGGCGTAAAGCCATGGTCAACAGAGAGAAACGCTTCACCTTTGTTTTGGCAGTGGTCATAGGTGTCTTTGTGGTGTGCTGGTTCCCCTTCTTCTTCTCCTATTCTCTGCAGGCAGTTTGCCCAGAGACGTGTGCCATCCCTGATCCACTGTTCACATTTTTCTTCTGGATCGGTTACTGCAACTCCTCACTTAATCCAGTTATATATACCATTTTCAACAAAGACTTCAGAAAGGCCTTCAAAAAGATATTGTGCAGTGGCACCAAGGGTACGTTCTTTTAGCATACATAATGTATCAGCTGTACATGACCTAGACACAAAAAATGCTACTTCTGAGGCATCATAAATCAATCACTTACATGTTTTCAGAACACTCAAAGGGCTGTTCCCAGCATAGGAATCAGAACTGAGAGCCACTCTTTTACAGCCACAGTGTGTGCAAACAGGCAACTTGGACTGTGAAATCCCAGCTTGCAGCAGATACGCACAAATATTTCATGGTGTGGGATGAAAACAGGACATGGAACAGAGGCAGCACTAGATACTTAACTGCTTCGCACTTCAGTATTGCTGATAAGATTTTGATTAAAAAGTTTAATCTCCAGATCACATTGAATAATGGAGTACACTGGGACACAGGGTGCTGCAGAATAAGAAATGTACACACTCTATAAAACTGTCAGAGGGAAGCATGAAACCCGTTGAGAATGAACTCCTGAATGAGAATATAGACAGTTTAATGTGTAATATATATTGTTTTGTCGTTATTAAATACTCCAGGACTAATGGAGAAAGGAAGCAAATATAAAGAAGGAAAAGTGACCTTTGAGTTCTGTGAGCCTCAGGCCATTTCTTTATCAATACTGAGCACAAGGAGCACACAAGGTTAGTGGTGATTTATTACGTCTGTAGTCTTAACTTGCCCAGCTGCAAGGCAAACATGTGTTCCTCGATTTTGATCTAAAGGCGCAACAAGAGAAGGTTTCTGAAGACTTCAAATATGATAGCACAGACAATGACACCCTTTCAAACTGAACTTGTGGGTTTTCATGAGGAAAGCCTGCACGTCAGACACCTAGCTGCTGGCTTGGTGTGGGTCCTAATGGACACTCAGGTTGTTAGTAATGACACTCTTGACTTTCCCCTTTCATGACGTGCAGAACAAGATAAAGTGTAGGGGATTTTTCAAGAAAAACATGTGTATGTTATTGAGATGTAAGAGTAGGGCTGTATGACCCTCCTCATCCTCTTAGCTTGTTGTTTCCTGCTTTTCATCTTGATCTAGGCTGATCACAACAATAGACTGGATCAAGCAATTCTTCTAATGAACACAATGAGATACAATCAAACTGCTTTTAGCCTCTTGAAAGTGCTTCTGACGTTTTTCCTAGTATCTAACTGGAGGTGCCTCTGGAGAAGACATATAGGAATTTGATTCCTATTATTCAACATTACTTTAGAAAAACCTGATTAAGCAGGGAGACATTTACATTCACTGTAAAGGACATAGAATGCAATTATGTATGTGTAATGTAACCACTAATCACGCCTACATGTTTTATTCTGAGAACCATTTGGCTGAGTCACTCTTTACAAACGCCTCTGGCACATCAGCTGCAGTGGACCTCTACATGGCACATTTGGGTTTATAGCTGAGAGGCAAGAGCATGAATGGTGCATTTATTTGTTCTCACCATGGGACTGAGGCTCTGTCAGCTTTCATGATAAAAAAAAAAAATGTATCTGTGACTGTGAACAACACACAGGCTTATTGACTCAATGGGACAAGGGCTGTCAGCAGCAACACTTCAATGTACTGATTGTCTAATACTGCTGACCTGTATGAGTGTGTGTGTGTGTGTGTGTGTGTGTGTGTGTGTGTGTGTGTGTGTGTGTGTGTGTGTGTGTGTGCGCGCGTGTGTGTGTGTGTGTGTGTGTGTGTGTGTGTGTGTGTGTGTGTGTGTGTGTATGCTTGTTCATTTTTCGTTTTCTTTCTGTAGAGAGTGACAGTGCCTCTCCTGGCTGCTACTACTGTAATATTAGTAAAAATAGAGACCAGATGTCCTGGTGACGCCATCACTTTGTGAATGTTTCTACTTGATTAACAGATCAGTACTTAGCCATGTTGAGAAAGTCTTATCGAACTGAAAGTCAGTGTTTATCAGTGATATGGAGTACATGGCTGTTAGTAATCACTCCCAAGGGACCAAAGAGCCTTATAGGTCACCAGCCTGACTCTGTGATATCCGGCTCTGTGTTGCTTTAAAAAAGTATTCCTTTATATTTAGTGTCTGTGTGATGGGACACAAAGATTGAAGAAACTGTATAATTTATTTCAAAGTATTTTGTGTTTTCTGTCTGTTACCTATTTATTGTTCTGTTACTGTGCTTTTATTCTGAAAGTGAAACTGCTATCAAAGAGCAAGAACACTGTACAGATTTGTAATATCACGAAAAAGAACTAAATTGATTCATGCCTTTGAGCTCTTGCTTTGTGGGGATTGAGCTATATTTTAGCTTGGGTTGTATGTATTTGTGTTGAATTGAAGGAAGTTGAACTTCGAGTTATGTGCATAATGCAGAATCTACAATGCAATGTTTGTCATTGTTTCATGTGGTGATAGTAAAATGTTAAATCAAAGATACAAGCACACTCATGAATGTACAATTAATCATGCATACTGCAGCAGGAAATCTCTTTTAAAAGTATTCATCAAAAAGTGCTTGAATATGAAAATATCATTAGCAACCGTAGACATTTTCAGTTTGATGATTTGCAGAATTTGTGCAGGACATTAATGCTACTATCAATAACATACACAGCTGCTTGGAGATCCAAATATCTGATAAAACAAAATGGAGGAAAGTGAGGGCTCCATGCACTTATACAACTGTTCCCTGCCTTCATCCGAAACGCTTAGTTTCTCTCCAGAAATACGACAACTATAGCAACCCTTTTGTAACAAAAATAGGCACAGAAGCCATGAATTCATGGCCGCTTCGAATAAATATGAGTTGCAATGCTGCTCAAACCTTCCAACCATGGCTTTATGTGGTGAAACTTCTGCTTTGTTTGATTTTGAAAAGTATGAATTATTGCTTAAAGGTGACAGATGCAGTAATCTGCCTCATGATCACCATCCCTCCCCTGAAACCGCCTGTATTGTCTCTTATTGCGTTTGGATCAAATAACATGGTCTGAGCTTTACAATCTTCTATCCCCCATCTGTCATCATCCCTCTCCAGTTTGGAAATAAAGCTACTTGAAAAAGCATGAGTAATTTCCTGGTTTGTTTATTTCATATACCTTCACATGATACAACCCCAGGGATGAGGGTTTGATTTCAGGAACACAATTACTGATTACTTGTTTCATAATGGGAGTTTTCACCGAATGCTTTTTTCTTGCATTCATGTTGAACTGAGAAGCAATTCCCAGCCATGATGAAAAAACCCTGAACAGCAACATAAGTTCAGAAAGTAGTGCTTAACATTTTGGACTGATGGCCGTTCAAGATGTCATTGGAAAATCTCCTGTCTCAGTGGGACATGAGAAGTAGGCTGCAGCAGTGATGTAGCTCTCTGCCAACAAACACAGAGGAAGTCTTTAAGGACTTGGAGCATGTTGCCAAAAATGACATATGCACGCACACAACAACACACACATTATTTGTGTCATTATGCACCAAGTGTCACATACTGTATTCAAGTCATGAAACATGCTCGACACACACATACTCACATACAGTTGTAGTGACAGCTTGTTATATTTGAGGTCAGCAAGCTTACGGTGAATTGTAATTGATTTATGCTGATGGGCAGTTTGGGGATTTCTAAGCACTGAATCAAGCCTGGCTGGCCTGCTTTTCCTTCACCCACATATATTTCCACTCAATGAAGAGACCCACAACTGAAGTGATGCCTTACCGTAACCTCCATACAGTTTCATTTCCATATTCATGGCTGTTCTTTGGTTTGAGGTGCACAAGGAGGTGAACAGATAACTTATTATAGCCGAGCATAGAGAGCCGTGATGTGTATGTTTACAGTGTTGTATATCCAGACAGACGCAGTGTCTCTAAGCTGCTTATTCTCCAGTCTCAGCTGGAATATAAAGCAGGCCTGATTGGTGGCAGTGGACCCTCCGGAGAGTAGATGGAGAGCGTCCAACTTACATAAAAAACAGCAAATTCTCATTGGCCTCCTATTCCTACGTGATAGTAGCCTTGAGGATAAGGACAATGCTTATGCAAGCTCCTGTAGAAGGAGGGATGTTCATGCCAACACCTACCCACAAATAAAGAAACAAAGACAGATATATTCAATCTCATTTTGAAAATGATGATGGATATAGCATTCCACGGTATGAATATGTGTTTGCATGGCGTTCCAGTGCAGATTTTCCATTTTCAATCTTCTGCACGTTATAATGCCAGAAGGATTGCTTAACTCTGTAATGTGGCTGCTGAAAACATCCAAGAGACAGGATGAATTATGAGGGACGGAGCACACACAGGCTCTCTCACTATTGCACTTTCTCTTTGTGAAATCTGTGATAGAAACGCAATTTTCAGGGGCACAGGCAGTTATGATTAGAATCACTGTAGGAGTCTGTGGCTGTTTAACAGAGTGGTATTCAATAGTGGTGTGTGAGTGTGTGTGTGTGTGTGTGTGTGTGTGTGTGTGTGTGTGTGTGTGTGTGTGTGTGTGTGTGTGTGTGTGTGTGTGTGTGTCTGTGTGTGTGTGTGTGTGTGTGTGTGTGTGTGTGGTGTGTGTGTGTGTGTGTGGTGTGTGTGTGTGTGGCGGTGTGTGTGGGGGGGTGTGGGTGTGTGTGTGTGTGTGTGTGTGTGTGTGTGTGTGTGTGTGTGTGGGGCGGTGGTGTGTGGGGGGGGTGTGGGGGGGTGTGGGTGGTGTGTGTGTGTGTGTGTGTGTGTGTGTGTGGGGGCGGTGTGTGTGGGGGGGGGTGTGGGGGGGGTGTGTGTGTGTGTGTGTGTGTGTGTGTGTGTGTGTGTGTGTGTGTGTGTGTGTGTGTGTGGTGTGTGTGTGTGTGTGTGTGTGTGTGCGGACCAAATTAAGCCATAAGCCTTGAAAGTGAGAAAACAAAGACTTAGTTAAAGGGGTTTTATTTGGCTTGTATTTGTCAATTGCCTATTTACATCTGCTTTAGCTGTTTAGCTATTACCATGGCAAAACCTGCTTTTATTGGGGTCAGAAAAATACAACATTAACAAAAATGTTCACACTGACAACACAATGTAAATATTACATATCTACCGTACTGACCACATCTTGGTTGGTTCATTTAAATGTATGCCTTGAACATATACATTTGCTGCCTATGTAAATGTTATTGGATATTTATCCTATTTACTATTGTATTTATTTCCAACCCACAACAGTCTTATCTTTATTTTTTTAACTTTTACGTGACAGATTTCACAATTTATTTCTCCCAGCTTTAAGTAATAATGTATAATAGTTAAATCACTTCAGGTGCCCTTAAAGTGATAAATAAAGTTGTATTTACTTGAACTAAATATAGCAACAGTATATCACTATTGCCTCAATACAATCATTCTGCATCAAATCTAATACAGTATGTATTTGTGTGAATACAAAACATTAGATTGAAAAATCATCTATCAAAACATTGAACAACATCTTAATGAACACCCAAATCTGTCCAAAAATATTTCTAGAAGAAATGTTGTTTTACTAGTTTGTGTTATAAAGTAGGGCAGACTGTTCCAGTTCATAATTTTTCTTGCATCAGTGGTTGGTTAAGCTAATGTATTGTGTAAAGTTTTGAAGTTAGAGAATGTCCTCACAAGTATGGAAACACAGCAAATGTGGTTGTGTTAGTTTAAATAAACCAGATAGAAACACACAAAATGCAAGTTCCCTCATTGACAAACAACATATACGTGTCAAAAATAATATGGTTTATAGGTGGAAGTGTGATGATTTTCATGACAATATTCTTGTGTGGCTCACCATTGAATTAGGAATGAGCCTCATTTTAGCTTTCCCTGTGGACACAATTACTTTCATGTTTTTCACGGGTATAAACACTGATGCATTATTGTGCCTCCTGGTGTTGATAAAGAAAAGAATGAAGAGGCCAAATTGTCCCATTATTATCATGGGCCGCATCAGGCTCTGCTGTTATAACTCTATTAGTGCTATGTTTCCTAGAAAAATGGAAGCCTAGCCAGAACTATGATGAGAATCCAAATCGAGCTGAATCATCTGATTGAAAAGTATGTGCGCAGGCTGTGAAATGGAAATAAAAAATCTGCAACTGATGTGTTGACGGATCAACGCGCAATAAAATAGAATACTGGTGCAGTTGTGTGTGACTTTCAAGCGAGGTTTCCGAATATGAAGAGGGGAGAAAGACTGTGTCTTTATTTAGCCTGGCCATCAAGTAAAGGTCACAAAGTTCTTTTTGACACACAGTTATGCACGTATTCACATACCCTCACACATGCGCAGACACTGAGGAAAAACACAAACAAACACACAAGAGGAAAAAACTGAAGCCCAAAAATAGAGCAACAGATGACTAACACTAAACTGCACAAACAGTGACACATTATGAGTGTCAGCACACACACAGACACACATATACTGCATGTGTTCACAAATGCTGCTTGCGTGCACACATACACACACTCACCAATGCAGACAGCAACAAAACAAAAAGTAAAATAAGATTAAAGATGATTAACCCTATCCCTCCCTTTCATTATTAGCTCCAGCATTAGATCCCTACTGTAAAATTCATTTATGGATCCACAGTAATCACTGAAAAATCTATATTTTTTCAAAGTTTTTACTCAAACCTATTTAGAGTGCACTGGGCGTGTATATGAGGATGTGGCTGACTATATGAGCAAGAGAAGGAGGAACTTAAATGAAAATGTTAAAAGAAGCATGTTTATCGGTCCTGGGAGAGGGGTCCCTTCCATCATTTTTCCCTATTATAGTTTTTGAGAGGGGTGGGGAATGCACATTTCAAAGCGAGGGTTGAAATTGACAGAGAGTGGTGTGTGCTGCTTTGGGCCACATAAATGAAACTGACTTGACTTTATTGGCACAGTTTCCATAACAAATAATCACAAGACACATTTTCTTCAATATAGTGGGTCATTAGGGTTCCCACATCTTTGACAAAATGCTGCAACGATTTCCACTGATGTGTGCACTCTGGGTCTCCTACACGTACCAGGTGATTGATGTATCATTTTATTTCAATGCAAATCTGAAAGTGTCGTTCAATTTACACCTAAATTAAGTTTGAAAATCACTTTTCCTGGATGGCTATGCTATATTCACAAAAAACACTTGCTTATGCAAGTGTTTTTTGTGAATATAGCATAGCATGTTTTACCTTCAATGTATGAACTCTATGTGAACTTTATACGTGTTTCCTTTTAGGAGTTTTGTGTTCCTGGCTAGTTCCTGGTTAGCACTTTTGGATTACTTTTAGCAATCAAAGGTGCTTTACAAATAACATTTATTATATTTATTAACAGTGATTGGAGTTTCAGGATCATCCCAAACCAAATATTTATGTTTTTACCTTGCGGTTTTTGTGTGGGATTAAAAAACTAAATATATTTAGTGAGAATATATATAGTTGATTGTTGGTTTTTGCTCACATCAACAAGTAAGAAATTAAGCATAAAACTATTTTGTAAATGAGGGCGCTGACCTTAGTTTCCCACATCCCACTGTTCCTCCTCCCTTTTGAAGCTAACAGCCTTTCTTCATCAGTGTGGATGGAGGGCTCCATGTGACTAACAGGAGGAGAGCTTCCAGTAGAGCAAAGAGAAAGAGGCATTTATTTCTTATCACATTCTCAACATTCAAACCTTGTTTAGCTTAGGAATCCTTCTTTCAAAGCTTTTAACTGTTTTATATTAATATGCTCAAGAAGTAGGCCAGCAGGCAAACAACTCTCAAAACGACATGATACTTTTTTTACCTCTCTTATGAGATTCAAAGGTCTTCAGTGTTGTCTTTTTGACCCATAAAGCACTCACAGCAATTAGATTGATATTGATGTCTACATATATACATTTGCAATATTTTTAGATTGCCCAATAAAGGTTATTAATAGCAACGTTCTGTAATTTTGTCAGGGTTTGAGTTTTTGTGTATCTAGTTTTGGGGTTATTTTGCTGTTCTGTCCTCCCTGTCGTTAGTTTCCCTGGTGTGTCTGATTGTGTTTACCTGTTGCCCTTGTGTTTCTCCTCCCCTGCCCTGC